TTTCAGTTTTCCAAATTTTCTGGTTCTTGAGTTAGTAATTTTCCTGCCAAAAATTTTCACGGGGCCATACGTGACACGTATGCCCGAGGGCTGAGTTTGATAAATTTAAGTCGTACATGGGCTGGGAATATTCCCTGAAAATTTCAACTCCCCAGCTTTCCTTGTTCTCGAGTTAGCCATTCCCGCGCCAAAAACCTTTCACGGGTCGCACTTGAGAACCACGCATGCTCGAGAGCGGAATTTGATAATTTTAAGCCGAACATATGTTAGCAGTATTTTCTGAAAATTCCAGCCTCCCAGCTTTCCTGGTTCCTGAGTTAGCCATTTCCCCGCCAAAAACTTTCACGGGGCCGTACGTGATTACCACTCAGACTGAGGGGCTGAAATTAATGATTGTAAGTTGTACTTGTGCTGGAAACATTCTCTAGAAATCTCGGCTCCCCAGCTTTCCTGCTTCCCGAGTTAGCCATTTCCGCGCCAAAAACATTTCACGGGGCCGTATGTGATTACCACTCACGCTGAGGAGCTGAATTTGAAAAATTTAAGTTGAACTTGGGTTAGGAACATTCTCTGGAAATTTCAGCCTCCCAGCTTTCCTGGATCCCGAGTTAGCCATTTTCGCGCCAAAAAATTTTACGGAGCCGTACGTGAGTACCACACAAGCTGAAGGGCTGAGTTTGATAACTATAAGTTGTACTTCTGCTGGGGACATTCCTTGAAAATTTGAACTCCTCAGTTTTCCCGGTTCCTGAGTTGGCAATTTTTGAGTCAAGAACCCTCACGGGGCCATACGCGGGAACCACGCAGACCTGGAGGCCGAATTTGAAATCTTTGAGTCCTATGTACACGACGAACATAACCTAAAAATTTCAGCTTTCTAGCTTTTCTGATTTCCGAATTAGCGATTTTCCCGCCAAAACCTTCACCCCCTCGTACGCGGAGCCCAGACTTGCATGAGGGTTGGTACCGCGTTCCTGGGGTGCCACCTGGCTGGGAGCCCACCTGCAAAATTTTGGCGCCGAAGCTTGTTTGGATGTCGAGTTGAAATATCCGGACACATACACACACACACACACACACACACACACCGGGGTCGTCACAATATGTTTTCGCATTTGCATATATGCAAAAGCGCATAATCATTAACAGGTAATTGCGCAGTGAACAGAAATGCACAAAACGCATGAGCGCACCGGTTATTCTGGTGCGTACTGCTATTTATTGAATTTTAGAGAAGTTTTGAAAATTTAGCTGTAAAGGATTTATAAAACGTGCTTTTCAGATGCCCTGATAAATACTCGTAAATGTTCCGGCAACACATGCATTTTTAAGAGCTACTGTAACTACATTAGCTACCAGCTTGGTTTTCCGTTTTGTTATGTAGCAGCGCATTCGGTTGAATGCCAAAATAGTGATGTTGCATAACGTTGCAAGCAGCGGCTGTGACATTCCTAGGGGAAGACGGAAGCGCATACTTGGTTTTATATGTCAAAACCATATCAAAACATTAAACTGGGTTTAAAGTTTTTATTGGTATACGTGGGTATTTACTGAAAATTTTGATGCACGAAAATCATCAACTTCTTCGATTCGCAACTCGTGCTCTTTAAAATTTCAGCACGAACCCTCAATTGAGCCCGAAATTGTAAACTAAAAAAAAAGTAAGCTTTGAACGAAAGCGAGTTGCAATTAATATTGTGCAGCTAAAGTCCCAAATTTTCTCGTTTTTTGATCCCATCGGCTTGAAATTAATCAGTCTGAATCTGAATTTAAGATTATGGGTCAAGGGTTGTACTTTATTTCAGACTATTCATGTCCATTTGTTTAGAGAATTGTCCCAAAATTTCAAACTCTGTGCATGAGGTCAGCAATCAAGAGTATTTGGAATTTAGACTCAGTTTGTTTGCTCCGCTTACGACATATCAGATTATTCTAAAATCTACCATTTTATATTTCCTGGTTTCTGAATTAAAAATTGGCATGAACCCTTATTCAAGGTCGCGGGTCAGGACAAAGGAAAAGAGAGAGAAAGAAATGTTTATTGAGTGTAAAATTATTATTGTACGTGTGACTGAGGGCAATGCTTCCTAAATTTTAGTTCAGATCCTGGCCAAAAATGACTCAAAAGAAAAGGCATGAAATATGGCTACATAGCAGCGCATTTTATTGAGAAGAGTGATAAAATATAATATGTTCGTGCGTTAGGTGATAAGAACTAGGACTGACACATGATTGGGATTAGGCACCAAAAATTTCAATTTCTGACCTTCGTAATTCTGCAGTTAGTTCATCGCGAAATGCATACATGCACATGCATAAATCCAAAAATGGTCTACCGTAAGCACAGATCAGGATCAATATTTGCTACCGGAAACTCCGCTCGATATTCTTTCAGAAGGATAGGCTCATTTGTGTTTAACCACATTCTGTTATAATATTTAAGCGCTCCTAAGAAGGCACTTGCATTCTTAGTATTCTTGATCTTCAAGTGTCGCACTCATAATGTAACACTGATCTGGCTGTGTTGTAGCTGTGGTTGTCCCAGTAGCAGTTTAGAATCATGTTCCGCTCTCCTCGGATCTTCCTCGACCAGCCCGGGAATTTCTATTCCTTTGTAGAAGTCGTAATATGTGAGGTTTTCAAGTGCTTTCAAAAATTTTATTTGGCAGCCCTGCTTATGTTAATCCGTTTGGTCTGTCCTTTCAGCGCTGTATCATTCCTGAAAGCGCGGGTGCAGGTGCGGGCGCCAGGCGTCGATGCCATGGTGGCATCTGGGGTTGACGTCTGTCGTATGCTGATGCTGCCGAGTGCCTGCTTCCTCTCCGACATCAAAATTGCAGCATTCGCGAAGGAATTCGTTGATAAGGGGTATGTTTCTTTAAATTACCTCTTACCATATTCAACTTTAAAAAAACTTGATTATAACAAGGGACGACCGTGACATATAGAAATTGTTCAGCAATTTTATTGCTCGCGAATCCAGGAGAGATGTGTTGAATTTTCCCATAAAAGACTGCTTGTTTGTGCTAGGATAACCTACAACTTCACTTTAATTTTTGGAATACTGCTGCCTAAAATCCGTTCCGAGCATTTTATCGTAGCTGAGGAGCGGACTGTCAAGCCTAGCAGCTTTTATATTTTTGGCAGAAAAAACTAAAGTCGTCAAGTTTCATTTACGGGGAGGGAAGTCACTTTTTATTTATCAGTGGAAAGCAGTCTCGGCCATGTTGTTTCAGGCTTTCAAATAAATTGATGTGTTTATAGCGAAACTGCTTAATAAATAAATGAATTAATAATCCAAAAAGCCTCCAGGAATCCTGCTCAGCCTAAATGACTTTGTGGGTGGAGCAGGAGATTGAGGGGAGGCTTCTTGAGATATCTTGACTGCGTGCAAAACTGTATGTGTTGATAAATGATCGGCATTGCGGAATGTTGTTGCGCGATGTAAGGAAGTTTGCAAGACAAGGGCGCCTTACTTGCATAGGTAAAAACTGGCAAACTCACTTTTCCAGAACAGTATCTGTAAGGGAAAAAAAGAACACTCGAATTTTTTCAAAAGATAGTATGCACACGTGTGAAAGAGTTGGCTAAGAATTATAGAAAGGTAACCCGCAAGAGCTGCTGAAATGTGCCTTCATCCTAGTAACACTGAGGGCTTCACATCACTTGTATAGCTAGAGAGAAGTAAAAAAAAAAAAAAAATCTGGTCTTTTTGGAGTGTAAATTCACTGCTTCTGTGAAATTAGTAATGTTTTGTTGCATGTAATTTTTATTTACAGCAGATTTTTACCACCACACTGCAATTAGTCAGTGAGCCAGACTTCGATCTACTGTCTTTTTTTTTTGTCTTTTTTAATTGCTAAGAATACTTCTTTTCGGTCAGTGTTTCATACTCGTAGTCCAAACAGCTTGAATTCACGTATCATAAAAAAAATTCAATCCATTCTCCGCAGAAAAATCCCGTTGCTTTTATTAGACATCTTAATGGAAAGAAATGAAGTCCTGGGTTCCTCTTCCTCGTAACTGTTTAATTTGTAAAACAAATTTCACTTTTTTGAAGTTTGGATGAGCGCAGTTACTGTTAGTGTGTGCATTAGCGCTGCCACACAATAGCACTGTTTAATCTACAGTTTTCTTCCAGATGTAGTGTTCAGTACACGGATGTATCAGCGAATAACTCGCACACTCTGCCTCAAACACCCATCAGCAACGTGTTCGACAGCACTTCTTTACCGTTTCCGCTTCTACCGTATTTCATGCCGCACTCACTGGGTCTAATGCAGCAGCTCGCCTTCCCCTACTATCAAAACATAGCTTCCATGGTTGCTTCGGGCATTCCACCGCGTGGCGATGCTGGTGCAGCATCTGGCGCAACTGCCCCTGCTAGTGCGTTCGACATTATTGCTGCAACAAATGTATCTGCTGGCAAACAAATGGCCATGGTATCATTACTTTTTAATCCATATGTGATGGCCGCTACAGCGGCAACACATCAAACTATCCGACGCCATACTCCATAGCGGTACTTATTGCACAGACAATAGCAGCAGCAACAGCAGCAGCAACAACAACAACAACAGCAACAACAACAACAAAAACACTACCACCACCACCAGCAACCCTATCAAAAACAACAGCAACAACAGTTATAGCAACATCAACAACAACATCAGCAACAGTAGCAACACCACCAACAACAAAAGCAACAATGTTAAGAATTACTATCATTGTTACTTTCGTAAATGCAACTGCAGCAGCAACTGCAGCAGCAACTGCAGCAGCAACTGCAACAGCAGCACCAGCAGCAGCAACTGCAACAGCAACTGCAACAGCAGCAGCACCAGCAGCAGCACCTGCAACAGCACCAGCAGCAGCACCAGCAGCAGCAGCAGCAGCACCAGCAGCAGCAGTCGCCGCCACCGCCGCCGCCGCTACCGCCACCGCCGCTGCAGCAGCAGCAGCAGCACCAGCAGCAGCTGCTGCTGCAGTTGCAGCTGCAGCAGCAACAGCAACAGCATCAGCAGCAACAACAACAAGAACAGCATGAAGAACAACAGCAGCGATCAGTTGGCAGTATCATCAATTTCATGAATGGTTGCCGTCACAGTGAGGTAAGCAGCTGACATAAACTTAGCACTGTTATACAAATATGATTGGAAGTGTCAGGTCATCTCTAGCATCTTTTGTTCATAGTGCATTATTTTTTCCCCTGAATTTTCAGAAAAGTGTTTTTCGAAATGTTTTGAAACATTGCTTCGATTCGATACCAGAGTTCGAAATATTGCATGAAATCTAATCAATCCGCTCGCATGTCTGAGAGATGGGAGATTTAGAGGCATAAAGACTAATTATGTTATTTTTATATTTTATAGTTCTTATTGACAGATTTTCGAAAAATTTGAAAGATTTGCTAACTAGAAATATTTTTCAATTCTTTTCATTAAAAGTAAAATCTTTGTTGATAAACCGTGAAATCAGTAGTTTTCTATTTTCTATGATGCTGCAAAGCCGGCCAACGGATATCAATAATCACTAAATTACTAAGCACATTCCGTACTAGTGGCAACGCATCAGCAAGTCGGGGTTTACAAGTGGCTGATGTTGTGTTATGAACATTATTCCTGGATAAATATTTGGGTTCGACCGTGAAGGCTAATGCATCATCTTTATAATTCCATATTCATTGTTTTGCTTCTATTGCAGCTTCCTAATTTGATGTTGATCATTTTGTACCAGTAACAGCATTTTAGGCTTTGCAGTAGTTAATTGATTTGGTAACAGAAAATAATTATAAGAAGTTGAAAAAGAAAATGATGTGAAATTGTTAATGACATGTGACATCATGAGCTGCATTTAGCAGGAGGGAAAGGAAGAGGACTCACTGAGCCTTAAAGAGGCAAAGATTGAATTGTTTAGCGACGATGAAGAGGACAGCGAGGACAACGATGAAACAAGCGACTCGAACGATATCAGTATGTTTCTTTATTTTAGTTCATCATCCGAGTCGAATTTGAATGAATAAAATTTTCAATGTCCCCTGCTTGAGGTCATGATGACAGTATCGACCAGATTAAACGTAGTCAAAGATTTTGAAAGCATCCGTTTTTATTTCCTTGATAATTAATTGTACTCCTCTTATCTGCGAATGCAGATCTATTTTATTTAGGGCTAGTTTATGAGCTAATTTTGACGGCATAATTGTATCAAAATAGTTATTAACGATAGAGTTAATATTGTGATTGGATTGTTTTAATCTGTCGAATTCACTGAAAAGTTCCTGAATTCTTTTCATCCCTTGCTACGCTGGAACGGGAGGATACGATGCCTGTTACGTTTTTAACGGCTCCATTGAACTAGGGATTGATTCATAAGCAGTTGGATGCGACAGTGTGAGACTGAAATGGATGCGGTGGACCGCATTTATACAAGACAGCTCTTATAAGAGACTTTCACCGACTTTATTTGAATCGTATTAATGCGCTTACAGAATGGCCACTGTCTCAAATTGCAGGCGGCAACAGTGGTCAAGAAAGTGAATGTAACATCAATGTGTGTAGAAACATAGAACCAGAAGCTGGCGACCAGCCATTTCGTGGTGAAATTCTGGTAATTTTTTTCCATTTTTTCTATTCGAATTTTAGAGCTTCTACGACGAGAGGACGCTGTCAGCAGCAACTGCAACAGTTACTATTGCCAAGGAGCTGCCATTTGAGCCTCGGTGACCGCCTACATCCAGTGCTGAGGGAGGAGCTGAGTTTGAATTCGAAAGCAAATTAAGATTATCTGTAACTTCTGGTAACTACAGAACTGTGGTGCTGCTGCAGCGCGGGACTATGAAAGTGAAAGTGTGAATGATTATCCGCTGCTACCAGCAACTGCTGGACTGTGTTATTCCGCGGTGGTGAAAGGTATAAAGCCAACGAATAAAAACAGCAAGGCAATCTATTGCCCTTCAAGAGGTTACCTACATCATTCGTGTCAGTAGGCAATATTTTTGCGATAAGCATCTGCGGAGAAAATTGTGGAAAAATGTATGTTCACATAGGCGAGCTTGATGCGGTAGCTGCTAGGCTATTTTGATGGTTTCAATCGCATTCTATGTGCCCTTCATCTAGCGGAACGAGTCCGCTGTTTTGCTCGCGCATATTGCCGAAGTTTTTGTTGGCTGATTTTTTTTGCCAAATCAGAAAAAGCAAATTTACAATTAAAATTATAACAAAAAAAAGTAACTTCGACTTGCAAGTTAGAATTAAGTGTCTATAGTTAGGAAAATATTGGTTTGTGTGTTGGGTAATTTGAGTGAAGCAATTCTGAGTTGCACGCAACAGCGAAGAAACTGGGATAGGAGTTCTTATTTTACCGTCGACAGCATTTATCGGTGCAGAGCTTTGAGATACTGATTGGTTGTAAGCTTTCGAGATTATTCCCAGTAGCATTGGCATCGAAGTTCGTGAGGCACAGTGAGTTTTTTCAGAAAAGTAGGGTGAGTAACGAGAAAACACGGTAGGATGAAGAAATAAATTAAAAACTTACTTTGAATAAAAAACTATAAAATATTTCTTTGAGAGTTTCAGGCTGGAGCGGACTTTTTTATTTTTCGAGCTAGAGCGCGCTTTTTTATTTTTTGAGCTGAAGCATACTTTTTTATTTTTCTCCAGCTAACCCAAACTTTTCGGAGTTTTTTGGGAACATTCGGGAATTTATTTGGTTTGATAACACTATATTGTACAGACTGTTCGAACACAACATCATACCGTAGCTCGTCGAGTATAAATCCGGCGTCGGTGCAGTCAGCACAGTGGGATCAGATAGTAACGGATCGAACCGGCAAATTCAACAAACCTGCTCCACAGTGCTTTCACTGGAACAACCCGAAGCATCGTCTCGACTACCCCTGCCGATACTGGCACCCCAGAGAGCAGTGCCGGTATGTTTGACGTTATCGTCAGAAACTTATGAAACACCTCGAGTTTCAGCGATGTAAAATACTTAATTTAAAATGAAAAACACCAGACAAACTAGAAAGTGTCCCCTTTAAGTTTCTTCTTTCTCCTCAAAAACGCACTTCTTCCCTTTCTCTATCCTGGCCCCATTCCTCTCCTTTCTTCTTCCCTTACCTACTGACAGTAGTATTCGGCTGCTCAGCGGTGGCAGGATGTGCATTCTCTGCAAAAGTGATTGAAACTGATGTCGTTGATATTTGGAGATTTTGGTTTCCAGCTACAGATTTGTTTAGATGTTGTTTTGCGATTCCAGAATGGTGTTTGTCACGAGTGAGTACTACGCCAGGCTTTATGTAACTTCTTCCGAAACATGTCCCCTCATTGAATGCCACACTGTTGGTAGAACAGATCCAGATGTTTCCTATAGCCATGGTGATGTTTAAGTATCTGCTTACAATCAACGGCATTCCTTGGAGGAGAAAGACTTGTCTTCGACGGCATCCTCCAGCTAAAATGGCACTCTATCCGATATTTCGCTTCTTTTTTTTTCTATCCCACTTTCCAAATTGCGTCTGTTTTTCAGTCCATGACTGTTTTACAGGAAATCAATTTTGTAACAAGAATTTAGTATGTAAATCATCCAGCAACTGGTGTTGACAAAACTCCAGTTGACTGATAAAACAAGCTCTGCGAAATTTCGGAATCGAATGTTTTCCAAGTTCGGTGACTCACTTTCGCGAGAAATGCCGTGGACAGTTAATTATATTTATGGTTCAATAGCTTAGATAGTTTTCGTAAAAAAAACCAAATAACGTTGTCTAAAACTAAGCACCTCTAGCTAAACTATTTAACCAAAATTTCATCGATTTTTCATATTTTTCCTCTATTTGTGGCAATTTTAACTAATTCACTGGTAAAACCAGTCTTTTTTTGATCAGCAATTTATGTCTCCTACAAAATTGCAGCTTCCTACTGATGTCGCTTTTGAATTCGCCACTAATATAATTTGTGCTCCTTCCAGAAACTAGGTTTCATTAACTCTAGACAGATTTGTTTGCTGAAAGAAAGGAAGCCCGTCTGTAGTTATAGGGTTAGGTACTTATAGATAAAAGTTTTATAGCAGTATACTAGCACCGTTTCAGAAGAGGGGATACGCAGTACAATGAAATGCTGTACGAGCTAACAAGAGTTGTGTAAAATCTTCAATTGCAGACTCTTATTTGCCCGCGGCTGCTGCTAGGCGTAGCTTATCCCAGCTATGGCATCTCTGCTACTGTTCTGTGCAGTTACTGAAATTTGTGATGTGCGCGTTCCAGATTTTATCCGAAATGTACGAATACGGCCGATGAATGTGGTTTCGCTCATCCGTTCTGTGGTGAATTCTGCCGCTGCCCTGAGGGGAAACGAGATCCGCAAAAGAACCACCGCTTGCCAGAAGAAAAATGCTTAGGTGAAATCATTTTACAGTTTTATGAGTGACTGCTAAGTGATTTTTGTCAATCAAAATTCAAGATGAGTAAGCTGGAAGCACCGTCCAAATTTTGCTGTAGCTTGACTTCTGGTCACATGTTTATGTTTAGGTCAATTTTGCAAAAGGCTACTGCGTGCTTGAGTTTTCAGTTCAGCATTCACCAAATAATTTGAAGCCGATGACTTGGATCTAGACTGCAAGTCCCATAGCTCCCTCCCTGACTACCAGTCTGAATTGCTGGTAGTTTTTATGCGTTTTTGCATACATGCAAATTACAACCCAGGCTGGAGCGCACCGGGTGGGCCAGTGCGATCTTGCGTTTTTGCACCGGACTTGAAGTACTCAGGTCATTGACTGCACGAATGGCTGTTGCTCTACACCTACCTTTTGCGGCCACTAGCACAAATCACCATAAATTTTGCAACGTAAATGTACAGCTCCCATTTAACAGTCATTCTTTAAAAGTAACCTAGTTGTTCAGTGAGAAATTTTTCCGCCAAGACCTTTAAGTGCCCATACGTAAGAACCACACATGCCTCAAGCTGAATCCAAAATACTTAAGTTGTACTTGGTCAGGGAACATTTCCCAAAATTTCAGCTTTCCAGCTTTTCTGGTTATCGAGTAAGCAACTTTCCCGCCAAAACCTTCACATACCGTACGTGAGTACTCTGCGTACCTGGAAAGCTGAATTTGAAATTTCTAAATTGCACGTGGATAGGGAACATCCCCTTAAAATTTCAGCCTTCCAGCTCTTCTGATTGCCGAGTTGGTAATTCTCTTGCAGAAACTTTCATACGCGCTTACGTGAGTACCACGCATAGCTTAAGGTTGAGTTTGAAATATTTGAGTTTTATTTGGATAAGGGGCATTCTCCCAAAATTTCAGCTTTCTAGCTTTCCTGGTACCCGAGTTAGCAATTTTCCCCCTAAAAC